GATTGGTTAGTTGACAATGGAACAACACTATAGCATATGAATGAAGTTATGAAGAGTAGGACATACTGTAAAACCAAGAGCAGTCAGTTTGTCGCTTGTAATGGCAACAGCGAGGATAGCATTGGAGAAGAGCCAGGATGAGACCAAACGGGTACGGAAACTCTTGTACGAATCCTCGAGCGTCTTTTTCTCATCCACCTTGGGTTCGACATATGGGGTCAGAGCGCGCTTGACGGTGCTTTCGAATTGACTGTCAATGTCTGCCTGGGGTTTGTCGACTTCTTCAATCGTTGCTGATTTTCCGTCCTCCTTCACGGTCTGTACGGATGGTAGGGCATCGGCCTTGTCAGATCCCTTGGTACCCCAGGACACATCGTGCCAGTTGCTGAAAGCGTAGACCATGAGAATGTTGATGTATGAGGACATGATAAGCAGATAAGCCGGGAAAGAGGTGAACATGTGCCATGGATCGCAGTACATGAACGAGGCGATGAAGTAGAGTCCAAAGGTAGCGGCGAGAGCGATGACAATGATACCGGGGCCGGACGAGCCGAAGAAGGATTTCAAGAACTCAACGGGGCCATGATCGGTTTCGAACGACAAGGAGGTACCGCCAGAGAAGGCTCGAGCAACCAGGTACATGGACAAAATGATGATATACAATTGGATGACACCAAAAAGAACGAACGAGGTGATGTACGAGTGTTTGGAACTGGAAATTCATCAAGTCAGTGAGTTGATAAGAGAGCGGTACAGGGCAGAGTTGTATGGTGCGACTTACCCCTTGGGTCTGTTGCCGAGAGCAAGAATGAACTGTAGGAGCAAAAAGCCAAGGTACGCGTATTTCAACAGAGTGTTCAGGATAGGGGTCACTTTGTTGCCAAATGGGAAAGCTCTGTTGCCGTTGGACGGGCCAGGGTTGCCAACGAGGTCCATGATGACGGCTGTAGTAAGCCAGTACGAAGCTATGAAAGTGTTATCACATTAGCCGCTGGACTAATTTGTGACTGGTAAGAATTCATGGGAGGAAAGACATACCGAGAGCAAACCAGGTCATAAAGACAGTGAAAGTGTTGTACAGCATTTGAATGTGGAAGAAGAACATGCGAAGGATGTTATGACCACTCTTGTACATTCTGCCAAAGTGCATGAGAGCGTAGATACTGGCGGCAAACGAACCATTGAGCCATCGACGACGCTGACCGATAAATTCAGGAGCTCCTTCGGGAACGTCGGTTTCACCCTTGGAGGATTTGACGTATGTAAGATGCCACTTAGATCCAGCTTTGGCGACAAGTTCGAAACAGAGAATACGATCTTCAGCCAAAAACATGTTCTTCTTGAAGATGTTCATGCCCTCAATACCCTTGGGACCGAGCTGTTTGGACAGAGTGTGGTCACCGTGGAAGTACTGTTCTAGCGGTCTTCCCATGATGGCGCGGAATCGGTAGGCCGAGAAAGCACCAGGCAACACACTGACGTAGCCAAACGAACTCTCTAGCGGCTTATCAAGAATGTTACTGATCTTATACTCGAAGTTTTGCGCGGCAACAAGAGGATTGAGGAGGTTCTTCCATCCTTTACCCAACATAGCGTGAATCTCACCACAAGATCCACCAAGATCCTTGTCGTTGTAAAAGGCCTCCCAAAGGGCAAGCAAGGATTTTGACCCTGGCTTGGTACCTGCATCGAGCAGGATACAGACTTCAGGGTTAAGGATGCGGCCAAAAGCGTTAAAGAGCCATCTGTGGGAGTTGATCTTCTTGCTGTTCTTTTGCTTCAGGCAGAACATCATCTGCACAGGTGGGAGGGTGGACGGACTGTCATCATGGGGGCGGATGAGTTGCTGGTTCGCAGTTACAGAGAGCTGTGTGGTATACTCGAACTACAAGGTATATATATCAGCACGTATCCCAGTAGAAAAAGACCCAATCATGCTGCTTGACTTACAATGTGAGCAACGGTCTCCTTTCCGTCAACATCTTTCTTCATGACACCATCCTGGTAAACTCCAACAGTCGCAAGGAGGTCGAGAGTGTCCTTGTCACAGGGATCAATACCGTCGAAGATAAGAGCCACAACAATCTTTTGCCAGGCCGGACCACCCTTATTCCAGAACTCGGACTTCTTCAAGTTGACGATGTCTCTGATATTCTGCATGACACCGTGGAGGGTACGAGCAGTGAGCACCTTGTCTTCGTTGTAGTAGGTAATGGCAATGAGCAGCTCAGTATGGCGGTTGTACATGGCTGGACGCAGGTTGTAGCCATTGTGAAGAGTGAACTCGTTGGGATCACAGGTAGCAGCAGTATCTACAGACAGTAAGTGTAAGATTATGCACGAATAGGTTGCATTCAACAAGGGACCCCGATGGGAAGAGTAGTGATAAACTCACATCTCATATGGGTAAACTCTTCGCTGCCGCCCTCAAGGTCGTTGCGGTACTTGGCTTGGACGGCGTTCTGGATCGCACTGGGCACCGGGTAGTCAATACTGAGGACAGAGCCCTGGACAAGCTTAACCTTCCTGGTGGCATAACGTCGGAGGTTGCCTTGTTGAGGAGCCTGTCTCTGGCGCCAGGCCTCGGTGGAAGAGGTCTCGCTGCGGGTATAGGGAGAAGGAACGCGTCCCGGTACCCCAAAGCCGGCAGCAGGATTCTGCATCTGATCCTGTGGATATTGAGCCATAGCTGGAGCGTCTGTCGAGTAGGATTCGGTCAAACTGTACTTCGACGAGGGACGTACGGGCGAGTGTCCGCGTTGTTGGGGGTCGTCAAAGGGGCCACCGTAGGGACCCTGGTTGAGTAACGAGCGAGAGGACTCGTCCTCCTGCGGCAGATGGTATTGCTAGAAGAGAAACATGTCAAATAAGCATGGGGAGAGGTGAGCAAAAAGAGGGAGGACGGTGTTTTTGTGTATTATTTTACTTTCTTCATCATTTATTTCACCATCAAACATGAAACAAGTGACTAGGCAAGGGGATGAAAGAGACGTGCTGCAGAGCGAGGATAAAAAAACGATCTCGATACCACGCTCTATCCGATGCCAGTCTGGGGGATGGAGGAAGTGATGGTTGAATGATTCGGGAACTTACACTTGCAGAGGGAGTGATGTCCTGCAGCCGGTGGCCATCATTGTAGCCTCCTGGCGAGCTGGGGCCCGGGTAGGCCATGGTAACGAACGCGGACGACCGCTACTTAATTTCCCTCTTCCTTCTTGGGCTCTTAGGGCTCCCCTTTCGCCGACTCTCTTGGTATATATCACCTTTCTCTGCGCCGGATTTCAGGTCAACGAATGGCAGAACAGATGTCGTTGGACGGTCGAGGGTCGGTCAGAGGAGTTTGACGCTGGTAAATGAGAAGCGAGATGGACAAGGCAGAGAGCGGTCACACAGGCAGGCGTGAAAAAGGGTGCTGGCACTCCAGATCACGACCCTCGTGTCAAGTGACGGACGACGGGGAGTCTGTAGCAGTAGAATGGAGAGTCGGAAGTCGAGGTTGGCACCGCAGAAAAGAAAACAAAGACGGAGAAGAAGTTGAAGACAGAGCGACAGCGAGAAGAAGAAGAATAAGAAATACGTTCTACACGCCTTGGAGAGGCTGTCCAGCGCTTCCTTTCCCTTTTCTTTCTTTTTTGCCTTTGCCTTCTTTTTTTTTTTTTTTTTTTCCTCTTTCACAGCCCCCTGAGCAACCAGCCCAGCGAGAGGATGAGGTCTCGCAGGGGTCCCGAAAAGACGCGCGCAGAAGTAGTGGTACCTGCGTTAAGCGCGCAGATTGTATGGAATAGGAAGTACCGATACTTAAGGTTGTCGGCTCGGAAGAACCCGCGTAGCCGTGCTTAGGTCAGCACTCTGAAACATCTAATAATACCTCCGGCGCATAGAGTGTCTCTGCAGGACGACGAGGGCGGCTGGAAGTTGGAGTTGGAGTTGGCGCTGGCCCAGCAGGGCACAGGTACAGCGTCGTTCTACCTTGCGCCCTGCCTTCTCTCTGCCCCCGTTCATCGCGATGCTACGGTACTCTGCGCTTGCTACTGTTTCGTCGTCGTCGTCGTCGTCGTTTTTTTTTTAGGTGCTGTAATCTTAGTAATCGCAAAGCCCCTGTCTAAAAATAGACCGGGGCCCCGCTCTGATTGGCCGGCGCCTCGTGGCGGCACTATGTATTTCGTACGGTATCATATGTCTTTTCCTGCACACATGGAACAGTAATTTACGAGAGATTAGTCGCCTAGTACTCGATATGGATAAGAAGTCCATTGTTTTCAGCTAATAAAAATTAAAAATTAAAAATAAGAATACAAAGGGCAGTTGAGGATGTCAAGGACAAGGGAATGGTGGATGGGTCTAGACGACGATGAAACCCTCTGTCAGGCCCACTCTCGTAACTGAGATCCTGACACTCCTCTCTAACAGTTGTCGTTGTCGTTGGTGCGGGAGGAAACTCGCAGGCACAAAAAGACAAAAGGCAGCCTGACCGTTGGCGAAAACAACGCTCAGTGGCTGTGTGAATATTCCTGTACAGATTTCGCCACGATTAGTGCCTGTTCCTGATTCCTCTCCTTAAGCGAGACATGCTTAGGAATATATGTCTTTTTCTGCAAATGACAGGTCGCTCAGCCCGTTCAGCCTTGAAGCCGGGATCGTACCCGCGGTTTGTTCATCGACACCGTGAAGGTGTGTCCCTTGACTGCACCCATGCATATATACCCATGAAGGCCACCAACAAGCGGCAATGCTGCCATGTACTGACTTTCCTATCCGTACATGTCATTCCTTCGCTCTTTCCAGTGTGACAAGGGTGACACCGTGATAGCCGCCCCTCTCGTTGCATCCTGGACCAGGTCTGCACGCACGAGATGGAAGGGGTGCGATCATTATTGAAATACTGTGTGCTTCTTGTCGCCAGAAACCAGACGGAGGAAGTTTGATTTCTATTCTATAGTTAGCCAGGGCTACTGAGTAGTTATCTATAACTACAGTACACGGACAATTTTCAATCTATAATGACTGCGATCGAGACTTTACCACAGCGAGACAGGGCTCTGCCCAATGAGCCCTTCTTTGGCAAGCTTCTAGGCTTGTTACAACTCGGAGACGACCATGTTGCTATTGATGACCCATATTCCGGCATCAAGGCGAGTGCTTCTCAATTTGTGAACGACGTGCTGGCAACCAGAGCTGCCGTCAGGCGTACGGCACCTGCGGGGATGCTTGACCAGCACGGTATGGTATATGAGCAGAAACCGTATATCTTGCTTCTTGCACCTTGTAGCTACCGCTACTTCGTCGGCTTTTTTGCTATCCTGGCACTAGGAGCAGCGGTGGTGCCGTTGTGTGAGTGGGCAGCCAGCCCTTTATCGCTAGAGCAATCTGCTAAATACAAGTACCGCTAACTGCCTACTCGTGGAAATCGATAGCTGCCAATGTATCTGTTGACGAAGCTACACGATTCAAGAACAAGTCGGAGGCCACATGTCTTGTTTTTGCAGCAAACTTGGAATCGAAAGCGCTGGAGATTCAACAGTCGACTTCCTTAGGCCTTGTTCCCATATCGTTTGCCGCGGATACAACCGACGGAGAACACGCGTGTCATATTGATATCACTATCAATGAGGGTCTTACAATTGAGCCTACTCGCCCCAGTCTCGTTCTGGGTACGTCTGGAAGTACAGGGCCGCCCAAAGGAGTCGTCCTAACGCGGGATTTCTTCAATATCCCCATGCCAGATGGTGGCCCTGATGATGTATTCATCACCATGATCACAGCCATGAACTGGATCGGCGGTGTCTGGCCCCCAACAAAGCTGTTGTTAAATGGCGTGAGAATCGAAATATTTGATTCCCAGCCTAGCAGGCCTGAGGTGGCTTGGAAGCGGCTTCGACAGGGCGGTGTTACCTTCCTCATGGCCCATTCAAACGTGTGGATGAGCATGATGAAGTACTATATTAACGAGTTGAGTAGTTTATCGCCCGCTGAGCTAGAGCCATATCGCCATGGTGCAAGGGATGTCAAGTTGGCCATGGCTGGCGCGATACCAATATTCCCTCCCGTACTCAAGTTCTGGAGAGAGATATTCGGCCACCCCTTAATGAACCTTTACTCTGCCGCCGAGATGGGAGGATGTGGGCTTCGTACTGCGGCGGACGTTGAGGAGGATGTCGAGGTTAGATTACCACCACGGCCATTTAATTCTGCACGCAAATTAAGAGCTAATTAACAGCCTGTGTTATATAGCGGTCTGTCGGAACCCCTTACGGCCAGTTAGAGGTGAAGCTGTCTGAGGGTGATCACGGCGAGCTTCTGATTAAGGGGCCTACGGTGGTTTCTCAGTAAGTTGCTGCCTTGCGGGAGTTGGCTAGTTGTAACCTTCTGGTTAACACAAATAATCAATCAGTTACCTAGGAGATCCAAAAGCCACAGAAGATGTCTTTGACGCTGAGGGTTTCTACAAGACGGGAGATAGAGGCCATATTGCGAATGGAGTTTATATCATTGATGGCCGGCTCAAGCACGACTGCAAGTATCCCTTTTATCCGGCTATGCCCTGATTTTCTTCTGTGGCCTTTCAGGGATATGCTAACTTTTTACTCTCTTTGCATGGGCCGGTAGTTATCAAGCATCATGCATATAAGGTGCCGATCCCCGAGCTGGAGATGCAGCTATTGAGATTACATTATGTCGATGAGGCATATGCCGTCCCAGCTCCGGAGGCTTCGGTCGGTGAACACATCGCAGTGGTAGTGCGGCTGAAGCCTGAGGCTGAGGGAGAGGGTCTGACTCTTGCAAAGTTGCGTGAGGATCTTTTGTCTGGCTCGTCGTTACCAGTCGGCTATCTGCCTACTGTGCTGCGTGTTCTAGGCAGGGGAGAAACCATACCTCGATCCTACACCGACAAGCCCCTTCGCAAACAAATTGTGACGAAGTTCTTTCTGGGTCCCGGTGGGACCGTGGAGCAAGGGAATCTCGCGATCGAAGTGTGGGAGTCTAAAGTCATCCCTTCGGCCAGAGACTTTGACCAGGGCAGCGACCGGAGGCTTACTACCGCATCGATCTAGGCTCTGAGTAAATGGGGATGTGAAAGCTGACTACGATGCGAAAACACGTTATAACAATAGGTATAGATAGAATCGTAGACCAACCTTCGTTCATAGTACAGATTGAAGAAACATTATTACACGGGCAAGGAGAGCCGGGGCTCGACCAGATATCACCAAGGCACAAAACAGGGGTAGTGGGAATAGACAGTGTATGGAGACATTAAAAGGAAGCCATTGATATTGGGGGAGAAGGACAGGAACAAGCACGCAAAAAAATCAGGGAGGGGAACTAAACAACAGAGGAAGACGAAAACCGGGGGCCACCAATTCCTTTAACAGACGCCGCATAAAGGTTCCATTTTGGGGACAAGCTTCAGTCCTAGGAACAAAACAAAGACACCAGGGGCAAAGGACAAAGTAGAAGGAGGGTTCGTAAGAAGGAGTGTTTATGTGTGAGAGCGTGCGAGGGGGGTGTAAAGCGTAGGCTTGGTCTACCCCTTAACTTCATGCTTGTCATCAAAAGGGCTTGCACTTCGGTTTGACTGGCTGGTCGGTCCGCTAGTCAAGCCAGAGGGTATGGGTTCTTCCTCAACGATTGGGTCGGCAAACGGGCTTTGTTTTTGGTCTGGCGAGTCGTCTATTTCAGTGACTGCGAGAGACTGGACGGATTGGCGGGATTTCCCCTTGGCGGTGCCATGTTTGTCAGTCGTGGAAGTAGCATCGTTCTTTGAGCTGGAAGAGTCACTGCTAGAACTGTCGGTGGATGGATTACGTTCGGGTGATTGGACTGTGACTTTGGGAGTGTTTTGTGATGAGTTGTTGTCGGAGAGGGCAGTGGTGGTAGAAGTAGCAGTAGTAGTGGTCGTGGTCGTCGTCTTGGAGCGACCGCCCTTCGTAACATTGATAGGCTTAGCAACTGCGCTGCGAGCAACGATGGAGCTGACACCAAGCTTGGCTGCGACAGCGTTGGCTTTGTTGATCTGCGAGTTCGTGATGGCCGGCACCTTGGGCGACGACTGAGGCGAGGACGAGCTAGTGCCTGACTTGACGCTGACGATGTTTGCCCTGGCTTGGTAGGCCTCCTGGGCCGGGACAGGGCTGACAATGGCGTTGTGACGGTAGATGGTCGTGGCGACACTGCTGCGAGCGAGACTGGGGCTGATGCTCTTGCCGTCGTCGTCGGTCATGCCAGACCACATGGAGTCCCGGATGTCGCCGGGCATGAAGAAGTGCTGGTTCTGGCCGTTGGCGACGGCAGATGGGATTGGAGGCACGGGAGGGACCATGAGGTCTGGCGAGCCGGGAGCCGATCTGTTCGTGACACCGGGGATATATGCGATCTGGATGACGTTGGAGGCCCTGGTGAGGACGGTGGAGGCGATGGAGCCGACGGCAGACTGTCTCCTCTGGCTGTTGCCGTCGACATCGACGCTGCTGGCGTTGGTCTTTTCGTGCCATATCTCAGTGTTCTTGCGTCGGCGGCGGACGCAGAACCACCAGGTCAAGAGGATTGCGGCGAGGAGGGCAATGCCACCGACGACACCGCCAGCAATGGCGCCTGTGGGAGAGCCCGAGTCATCGGACGGCTGGTTGGCGAGGGGATCAGGGATGCAGATGGCGGTAGCGCAGGCTTCGCACGATTTGGCCGTGAGAGTGCATATCTCCTTCTCCTTGCAGGTTGGACACGGCGGCGCCTCGGTTGGGCAGTTGACGACGCATCGACGGAAGAGCGCACTTGGGCTCCGCCCGTAGATGGCTGTATCCACGGATGTTAGCAAAGCCAGCGAAGCGAGTCGATGACGGCCAGACATACCGGATTCTGGGTTCATGATGGGGTCGGTTTGCGGTGCAGACTGAGCGGCCAGCAAGCCCGCGCGAGAGACAGACAGACAGAGAGAGAGAAAGACAGATAGAGAGAGAGAGATAGGCAGAGATAGAGGAAGTGAATGGAGGAAAAGCGAGGGTCAGCTGCGCAGCAGCAGAATCAAACGAGTGACAGTGGAGGGTGAAAGAGTGAGGACGACGAAAGAGAAAGACGGGGGGGATCCCGGGGCGAGGCTGGACGGCAGTAATAATAATAATACGGAGTAATATAAGAACAGTCTTAACGGTCGAAAGTTGGTTGGGCGTTGAAACGAGTGTGAAGCGACGACGGCTGCGAAAGTCGGGCCAGATCAAATCAGGGCAGACATCACTCGCTCAGCGGCTCTTCGACTGGCGCCGTTGGTGATGCAGCGGGACAGCGGGTAGAGGAGAGAGACAACGACAACGGCGGCGGCGACGATGCAGAGCGAGAGACGGCGAGAGCGTCGAGCGAGCGAGTGACGAGGGCGAGCAGCGGGCGAGGGCGAAGACGAGGACGAAGGCGAGGATGAGACATCGCGATGTGTTGTCAGAAGAGAAAAGACGGAGGACGGGCGGGAAATGAGCCCAGGGCCGCGGCTAGGGCGGGCGCAGCATGTCGCTGGTGGAGCCCGGGTGGGCCAATCAGGGGCGGCAATGGGGCCGAAGGGGGTGGGGCGAGGGTGCCTGGCTAGCCGCTTTGGGCTACTTCGGCCCGCAAAGTGGAGACTTGAATTGGCGGTCGTGCCTTCCTATTGGGTGTAGAAGCACGCGCCAGGCATGACTCAGCAGAAGCGGGTGGACGGCCCAGATCAGGCTAGCGCGATCTGCACGTGATGAAACATTATTGCTGACTACTGTCTTACTAATACACGTGACTAAGCAGTCTCTCTCGACCTCGTGGAAAGTCGAGAAAGTCGAGAAAGTCGAGAAAGTCGAGAAGTTCCATCATGGACGCTCGACGTCGCCAGCAGCCGCAGCGGCTCTAACGCGGGCTGTATGACATTCGCCGGCGGAGTACTCCGTAGTGCAGACTGTATTGCTGCACACGGCCCTGCTCTCGGCCTATCTACGAAATGTGGAGTACAACATATATTATATAACTACATATCTATATACCCCTGTTGACCCCTCTCAGCATGGCCAGAGCGGCTTGTCTCTCTCCTTGCCGGATTCACCACCCTCTCCTGTCCAGTTTTCGATATCGACACCTGTTGATCCATCATGTTCTCTTGGCTGCAGCGTGGGATAAGTATGTTACCATTCGCAAGGCGTGGACCTGACGAGCGAGGCACTGCAGGCATTCACCAAGCGAGTCGAAGAAAAGATGCAGCCAGCTCAGGAACCTGAACGTCATTATGCGGCAAAACTGAAGATGGAGAAGCCAAACGCCAAAAGCACATCGGCTATCTCACTGAGGCGTTCGAGAAAACTGCTAAACTCAAGGAAAGTGGCTGCCTTGAATCACTCACTCTCAGAGTCTTATGGTCTATCTCGACGGTGTAAGACAGTTCCCTGCTTTGAATAAATGGACCCGGTGGTACGTATGCAGACGCGTGTAGGTTTCTGCTATTGATACCTGGCAGGTTACGTTGCGGGCATTGGCAGCAAGCAAACGTATTGGGAAGCTGACCGTGTTCAATGATGGGTCGATGGGACTGTGCAGTTTGCCCTGCAACAAGCTTATCACCATCGATTTGGAAGACGCCGGGCTCGTGGAGTCGTTCACTCCACTGAATTCGCTGTCACTCAGTGTTTGTGATAGGATCTTTGATCCCAACCGAGACGTCGTAGAGCCCGGCCAGAAATACAACAGCTTAAGGAGCGCTGATGGAACAAACTGGCACAAAGGCCGAGAGCCTGAAGCGTTGGGGAGATGACATAACTAAGGCAACCCACATCATTTGAAGTGACACGTCCATAGTTTATTGGCAGTCCAACGAGTATGATATATAAAGCGCGCGAGAGATTGGGGCCAATTCCTAGGGAGACATCGAAGAATATAACTACTTTGTTCTTCAAAGTATCCACTTCGACCTTTTGCCCCTTGGAGGGGGAAAAAAGTACCACATTCAACATGTACCCGATAGCTGCTAGCCCTGAATGAGGTTTCCTCCAACCAAAGTCTCCAATCATGGTGGTAGGCATAGTACATAGCACTAACAAGTGGTAGGTTACTTCGGTGAATGTGCTGGCTACTTCTTCTCACTAAACGACTCTATCAGTGGTGACACCTGAGGATACTGGGGATAAGAGGCTCGTCATTGTGTGGAGAAACTGGTTACTTAGATGTTTGGACTTAATATGAATTGCTACATATAACCAACGCGTATTTATCAGCTGTTCAATCTAACTGCTTGTTGGGGACAAGTTTCTTAGCTGCTGCTGCTTTTTCTGCTGTGCAATTATTGTTGATATGAAGCAACAGATCTACAGACCTTGGTGGAGAATCAACAAACAAGCAAACAAGATGAAGAGGAGACAACATATGTACATGATCTACCGGCATATTCGGCCGCGATGCGAACAGTTAACTTAACTAGTTAGCGCACGCACCAGGCGCCGTACATGTTCTTGTTTCATCGTCCGGTTGGAAATGTGGCTGTTACACTGCACAGCCTAGCCAGAGTTCCTGTATCGTCTGATTTGGTAGATGGCTATTATTATCAGTGTACGCTCGAGCCAGGATCAGGCTACCAAACCGGTCTACTTGGGGGATAGCCATCAAACCAAGGGCGGTGACTCGACGATGCTGCCTGCATCCACCCTTCTCCGGATGAATATGCTGGAATCCGGGGAGGATCGGGCTTTGGCTGCAGCCAGTCACTTTCTACCGTGTGCTCTGCTTGGTTCGCTTGTTTTCTAGTTCGTCGGGGTAACCAGGTATAGCGACACGGAGTGACCGAAGTGAATAGCAGGGTGGTAAGAATTCAGGTTGAGTCATGCCTCTGTCGAGGCTGGTATAAAAGGAGAGTACGGAGTACGTCCTGTAGAGATATCGGCCAGTATAGCCAACTCCTTTCAAACCAGCCATCAACTCAGCGGAGTAGCCATCCGGCTTGCAAACATGGGAGACCACCAAGACCGCCAGTTTGAACAAGACAAGTCCCGCTACGTCATTCCCGGAGGTAGCGTTGAGAGAGACCGTCTGCGAGTCCAGCACGAATGGATCAAGGGCACGGCTGGAGGCCTTATCAAGGCGCCCCTCGATCTAACGGCCCAGGGAATGAAGGTCCTCGACTCGGCTACTGCTGATGGTAAGTCGGAAACTCCTTGTATGCAAACATGGCAACAAATCATTATCTGACAGATCTGGCCAGGTTTCTGGATCCACGATGTCCGTCTCGTGCTGCCTGACGACACCGAGTATGTTGGCTTCGATATTGCGTATGTCCGGTCCCTCCATGCTCCTGTTCCTGTTCCTGTTCCTGCCCCTGTGGATGTATGAGTGCAGGTGGCTTTATCATGGGTATCATAACTAATAATGGGTGTCAACCGAGAAAGGACTGAGCTGTTCCCTGCGCGCGAGAGCCTGCCTCCAACGGTGTCCCTGGTGCCGCACAGCGTGACGGAGCCCTTCCCGCCGGCCTGGGAGAACAGCTTCGACCTGATCAACCAGCGCCTGCTGTTCGCCTTCTTCCAGCGGCAGGAAATCAACCAGATCGTCAAGCGTCTCGTCGGCTGTCTCAAGCCAGGCGGGTGGATCCAGTTCTTCGAATATGACCACTACACCATGGTGACGGACCCGCAGGCGACGACCTACCTGCTCTTCTACAAATTTGCAGAGCAGAAAGTGCGCAACCTCCATGTCAAGCGGGACATCATGGATGCCCTTGCAGACGCTGGATGCGAGCACATCCAGAGCGAGTGCCTCGAGATGGTGGCTGGCAGCGCCCATGTCGATCGCGAGCAGGGGATGCGAGGCCGGCGGGTCAGCCGCGTCCTGTTCCACTCCTTTGGCAGTCTCGTCAAGTAAGTCCATCCAGTCATTATTATTGTCCATCTGCTTGAGCTATCCACTGCTGACATGCGGTCCAGGCTGGAAGATATTGGGCTGAGCGAGGATCGCCGGCCGTCGCTCGCCGCTGAGCTGGAGAAGGATATGGACATGTACAAGACGGGGGTCGCTGGCAACTTCATCTGGGCGCAGAAGCCCGAGGGTATTTAGCACTCGTATACGGAGGATCAGAGAATGAGTTCTTCCGTAACTACCTGATAATAAAATATATACGTTGTTGAATAATGTATAGTCTCGTCCTCGAGCTCGTATGATGTCGTAGTTAGCCCGTTAACTATCGTGGCTGTCGACCGCGAAACGAGGATGGATACGAGCAACGCCCGCCATCACCCGCACACAAAGAGCCACGACGAGTAGGAAGAGATAAATACAAGGCGATGCTTCTGATGCCGCATGGTGAGTCCCATTCGTCTGCAGTTTTCAGATCCAGAGCCTGCTGCTAACATGCGTCTGCTCAACACCAGGTCCCTCCGCGTCGAGGAGTTCTTCGACGACAGCGCGCTGCCCGACTACGCCATCCTCTCGCACCGATGGCAGGACGAGGAGGTCTCGCTGCAGCAGCTGCGGGACGGCCAGGCGACGGCGATGCGTGGTTACAAGAAGCTGGCGGACAGCTGCTCGCAGGCGCGGCGTGACGGCTTCGACTACGTCTGGATCGATACCTGCTGCATCGACAAGACCAGCAGCGCCGAGCTGTCCGAGGCTCTCAACTCCATGTACCAGTGGTACCAACGGGCCAACATCTGCTATGCGTACCTGTTTGACGTGGACGAGACACTCGTCGCCGAGCAGTCGAGCTTCTACCGCAGCGCCTGGTTTACTCGTGGATGGACGCTGCAGGAGCTGCTTGCACCGGCCACCGTCGAGTTCTTCAACGGCACATGGCAGAGGCTCGGTAGCAAGCTCAAACTGAAGGATGCGATATGTGAGGTGACGGGCATCCATCCCGGTGTGCTCACGGGCGAGCTGGAGCTGCAGTCCTTCTCCGTTGCGCAGCGCATGTCCTGGGCTGCTCGCCGCACCACGGCCAAGGTCGAGGACCGGGCATACAGTCTGCTGGGAATCTTCGGCATCAATATGCCCATGCTGTACGGCGAAGGCGAGCGGGCCTTTCTGCGTCTGCAGGAGGAGATCATGAAGCAGTCGGACGACCACTCCCTCTTCGCCTGGAAGAGCGCTGACCCAAACCACCGCGGCCTGTTTGCAAGATCTCCGGAAGCCTTTGCAGAGAGCGGCCATCTCGTCCAGGCGGCCAGTAAGTGGAACATCAAGCCCTACTCGCTGACCAACATGGGTCTCTCGATCGAGCTGCCCATGGTCGAGTGGTCGATGGGCGTATACCTCGCCGCACTGGACTGCGAGACCGAAGGAGTGCAGAACAGCCGTGTTGGCATCTTCCTCTCTGACCTGCCGGAGAAGAACCAGTATGCCCGCGTTATGCTTGACGGTGTCGATCTCCCTCGCTTTGCAACCAGCCGCCAGAGCCAGTACCGCCACATCTACGTGAGACAGCAGATCCGAGGGTCTTTACGGCCGGTGGAACGCGAGTACGGCTTCTGGCTCCGTCGCATACCCAGACCCAGCTTGTCTCTGGATGCCACTTTCGACGTCACTGCTTGGAACAACAAGTGGACGAGACAAAACATGGTCTTCACCATTCCAAAGGGAGAGTGTGGAACTGCGGTTGTTATACGGTACAAGCTCGAGAAGGGCCGGACAACCAATATCAAGCTGGGCTTCGATCCCAAGTTCAATCCTGTCTGCCAGTTCGGGGGCCAGTACTACTCGCCAAAAACCTTTGGCTCTCCGTTTCGGGACACTTTCCAGGGTATCATGGCGACTGACTGGATGAATTCTCGTCTCGAAGGAGTTCACGTTGGCGACAAGCAGACCGGCTTGAACGTCGATGACTTTCATCGCATCCTTATTCTCAAGGAGACAATCAAGGGTAAGGAAATGTGGGTGGTCTACATTGCCGACTACGACGAGGAAGCCGTATGGTATCAAGATCGTGTTTGTGATGGCTGCAACTTGGTAAGCTGACGTTGTCTATCAAATCGAGAGAGAGAGAGAGAGAGAGAAAGCCAACAAGTTGACAATGATAGACAATATTCGGCCGGCTATACAAGTGCAGCGAGTGCTCAGGATTCGACTACTGCGAGGACTGCTACGCAACGGCAGACAAGACTCATCCCCAGCACAGGTTCAAAAAGGATAATCCTATTTGCCATGTGGGAGTCAAGTGTGACAGCTGCGCCCAGGTAAGCGTATACTCGGTATCAAAGGGTTACGCCCTGGAACTGCGAGGCTGACGCCGTGTAGAAGGTGTATGGGAGCCGCTACAAGTGCTCTCGCTGCCCGGACTTTGATCTCTGCAGCTACTGCTTTTCCAGTGCTATGAAGATCCACCCTCAGCATCAGTTCACGGAGATCCAGAAGCCGTAGCCTTTCTTCTTCTCTCCTCGTTGTGCGTATCAAAGGGATAGGGGTTGGGGAAGGTGTTCGTAGCGTGGAGTACAAGCTGTTGGTAAAAGCCAGAACACACACGACGAGGACAATATGGTTTTCGTCGATATCTTTATTGATTACCGTTGTCTGTAGGTACATCGGTAACAGACATCATTGTCCGGCGCGCCCAATTTGTGTTTTTCAGCCTGTGGCTCAAGGACGAGCTGTCCAGAGAGGCTTTGTATAAAAAAAACTTGATTAAAATCAAGTCTGATAAGTAACTAATCTATATTAGGCCGCTACCAATCTGTAAGCCTTAGGAGGCTAAATCTTGATTTCTTTTTCTTGTATCTATATAACTATATAGAGCTCCTCACTCCTTATAGTCTTTGACTGTATTGTGCTCAGCCCGAAGCTCATGTCACGTGACGTTCCCTCGAGCCTCCGAGAGTAATTGCTTATATAATATAACCCAAGGGTTTGGGATGTCTTGGCATCTAGATCAACGTCATATGTATACATCGAGAATCAAGAATCGCAGCGCAAGCAGAAGCAGCCACACGCCACTTCTGACCTCGAGACGGCCATATATAAAAAGATATTTTATGCATCTTCTTGGATAATGTGTAGTAGACAGCGAGGTATACTCCCACGTTTTTTAGCTGGTGGGTAGCATAATTCCGCTCTCAGTGGCTAACCAACTATATAGCTGTTCACTTAAGGTCAGTGTCAAATATGCAACCTATTAATTACTTGGGCGATAATAAGAAATGGTTTCTGCAATAGATCTAACATGAGTGGCTGTCTAGTCTATCAACTCGCCACTACATACCTCTTCTATACCCTCTCGTCCCCTTGCGTGGGCTTATTAAATATACTACACTACTATGGAGGAAGTTTTTAGTGGCATTAAGTATGCCTTTGACTACCTTTTCCGCTCGCGTGCTGCGCGTGGTCTGCCGGATGATAGAAAATGCCGTGTAGCTTATTGGCTCATGGATTACGTGCAGTGTGCCTTGTGTCATTTTCGGAGCGAAGTGAAAACACGATACCCTCACCGTGTTGATATCATTGATATAGCTGAAAAGGTGGAGCGGTCCATCATTTATGAACACGGAGGGATGGAACCAAAAACATTGCTCCGTACCTTGCGTGGAGAAACACCCCGTTCAAAACCTCTCACCCCTGAGGGCCTAAAAACGTGTGATCAGATTCTGGCTAGGTGGCAAGACCATGATGCTATCAAAAAGGAGTTTTACTTCTTAAAGCTTGATCGTATTATAGAAGAGGGATTTATGAAAGGCAGCTTTGTCGATGACGACGATGTGCTGCTTTCTACATATCTATATGATACCGAGAAACACGCTTCACAAACAGCGAATGGGATGAAAAAATGGCTACTTGCTAGACACGGAACCCTGGAATTCTAGGCAACGATGAGAAGATTCAGGGGGTGTGGTCTATGTTGTTCTATACTATATTGTAGTGGCTTGATTGCCTGTTAACAATGTAAATTATCATCTCTTCTACTTTCTACCGCAAGAGGTATACCACTTATCAGATACCATTTTACATTCGCTCGTGTCTAGACGGTGTTGCGTTATAAGAGGCTTTATGTCCTGTCTCGGTGCAGAGAGCAAGACACAGTTACCTTAGCGTAACTAGTTCGCGTTGCTCCCGTGGCTTTTTACCCCTCTAAATTTGTTTCTCCTTTCTCCCCCTCTTTCTCTTTCTCTTTCTTCAGAGCCAAAACTATTTTCACTAGTAAGTACTACATACTCTATAACCCCGTCTACGCTCTTTCACAACCCCTATAGACGTATGATCGCATATCTAACCCAATAAGCCTATAGAAAAATATCTAAAATGGTCTCTAAAAAAGATTTTTTAATGGAAGTGGCAAAAGCAGGAGGAGAACAAGCCAAGGCAAATAAGGCAACAGCAGCAGCGCTACAAGAGTTAGTGGCAGCAGCAGCAGCAATAACAGACGACCCTGGTCCCGCTGGCCCCCCGCGCCGTCGCCCCCGCCCACACCAGAAAGCAAAAATGCGCGCAAGGCGCGCCGAAAGGCGCAGAATGAAGAAGGAGAAGGAGAAGAAAGAGGAGAAGAAGGAGGAGAAGGAGGAAGAGGAGGGGAGAAGGAGGAAGAGGAGGGGAGAAGGAGGAAGAGGAGGGGAGAAGGAGGAGGGGAGAAGGAGGAGGGAAGAAGGAGGAGGGGAGGAAGGGGGGAGGGGGGAAGAGGGGGGGAAGGCATTGCCTTTGAGGCCAAAACAGTAGTCGACTCGAGATATTGAATTAAGAACCTTGCCGCGGACCATATGTGCCATACTCTCCAAATTTACTTTAGAAACAGACTCATAAAAGCACGTAGAAAGGTGGTATATCGTCGGGACTGGGCCACTCTATACCCTAACTCTCTCTTACGATTTCTCTTACCACTATATAGAAGTAAGGGTATAGTAGGGGTATCACATAAGAGAACGGTACAGAGAGAGAATTACTCCGTATACAGAGGCAGGTATTCTGGGGTCAGAGGTTGTTGTATGATGTTCGAGGTTAATCTGCATACCAAGACATATAGGCATGCTTATATAAGCAACAGTGGTTACCGGAATATATATAATCCTAATGGTGCAGGTTCATTACCATTCGTTAGACGCAAAGTCAAATATCTAGCTTATAAACAACGTCAGTCATCAATTGAACCACGCAGGTGGTGATTGCATTGCTGCGAGTACAGATAGCACACGGCGTCACAGCCGTGGTAGAGGGTAGAGGAAAGGGCGGCAGAGCAATAACTTACTCTGCCGTCACTGGAATGTTTTGGTGGAAAGAAGATACCTGGTCGGCATCACCATAACTACCGCCGCAGATACTTGGCCCCTTTTACCGGGGAGCAGCACTTTAATGCCGATGTTATAATACCCTAACACCTATCTATATCATGACGATGTTGGTACAATAATACCCCTACCAGTTGTAGGATATCCTAGTTCCTAGTCGTATATCCCAAACAGAATGGTAAAAGCGCGACCATTGTGAAAACCACAAGGAGGGCCCGTGTATACCACTACCATCTAGATCCCCTTCCGCATGGCTCTTGTCCTCCTCCTCCTGCTGCTGCTGCTGCTGCGTGGTCTTTGCTCTCTGCTCCCTGATGCGCAGGCAGAGGCCGCCGAGCACCGGGCATTGGAAACCAGGGCGACCACGGATGTACTAGGTAGTGCTTAGTGCTCGGTGCTGGCGCTGGGCTTTCCTAAAGGGGCAAATAACGTGACTGGACGCGCTTGCCCCGCGCGGAAACGTCGCGTCCTCCTCCATAAGGTTGCTCCTCTTCCATCTCTTCTTCTTCTTCTTCTTCTTCTTTTTCTTCTTCTTCTTCTTCCCTCCTTGCGTTCCTCGGTTTTTCTGTTACTATCACATTGATCGATTTCTTAAGCTTATAGCTCTCCTCGATCAAGATATTACATTCGATACGCCCCCCGACAACCTCCTATCCATTCAGGTAACTATTCTAAGATGGATCCAGGAGCAACAGCGTGCGTATCTGCCCCTTTCCCCTAAATACTACTATTCCTCCTCTAATACTTTTCCCTTCTCTAGCGCCGACCGCCAGCTATTAAGCACTTGGTTGAAGTCTAATGAAGTGAAACAATACTTCGAGTCAGTATATAATGGTCGCCACGACGCAAGAGAATATTTGCAAAGCTGTTATGATGGCTTTGCTGAGCTTTTCTATGGCGTCCCTGATTCTGATAGAGAATATGAAACCTGGAAAAGCTTCGTGAGTCGGCATTTCGAAAGCCTCAAGAGTGGGTTTCGCAAGAATCGGAAGCGGATCCTTGTCATCTTCTTCTTTGTGATATCTAGATTTCTCTCTTCCTTCCTGAGGAAGCCAGCTATTGACTTGTATAGCAAGAATAATGGCTGGACGTACTATTACTTTATAAGCGAGGGTTTAGGATGGTTCGGGCTAGGGTTCCAGCTTACTATACTTTTCTTCCCCCAGTATAGTAAGGACTGGCGCAAGGTTCTAGTATATCTATTTGCATTTATTGCTCTGATTTCAGAGTGTATTACATTCGGATATCTAGGGAGCGTTGAACCTAATAGAGCCCTTCATCAGACCTCGCTAGTGTTTAAATGCATCAGTGAAGGCGGCATCCATATTCTCAATCTGGGGCTACTTATTCAGGCCATGCGAAAGACCCCTGATACTGCAGGTCCGAAGGTTTCGCTGGCCCAGTGGCGTCAAGTGCCTAGCGACTACAGGTGCTGGGCTCACGACAAGCTACAGGACCACCTGATCGAATATCTCGCATTGAAAGCGCGATATCGCGATCGCTCTTCTAGGGTTTCATCCCCGATTGGTCCACGAGCGGCTCTCTTCAATCGTTCAACTAGTCAGTCAAAATCGAGGGCTGGAACTCCCAGGAGCACGGAATAAGCCATGCTTCTAAGTGGATATACCATCTTTGAGAGTGACTGTTTATGAAGATATACGCGATGGCAAACAGGGTTGAACACGGAGGCTATTGTTTATTCTGGTAGGTTTCTTTGAACTAGCCGTTTCATATCACTCTTCTGGCAAGCTCTGGGCTTACCTGCTAGTTATACCTGCTCTGGCAAGCGTCCTATGGGCCGCCGTCAGGTATCTCGATGCTGGAAGCCTCTTAGGCCAGCCGTCAGGTATCTCTTTGCTGGCAGGCCTCCTCGGCTATCCGCTGGTTATATCTGCTCTGGCAATGTCTTTAGGGCCATCCGATAGTGATGTGATAGTCATCGCGTCCTCATCAACGTGGTCAACCCATTCTCTTTTTTTTTAGTCAGCTCTGGTAACGCAGTAAGAGCCGCCTTCTGGGCGATTCAAACTACGTGTGGGTTCGAATCCCACAGCTGACAAATGAGAAATAGCCACAGAACTACGTTGAGATATGTAGTTATTTAAAACTTAACAAATACTAATTTAGTATAGAGAGATATTTATTTATAAAGGAAGTTATTTTCGTAATTATAATTATATTATTTATCTACAAAAGCTAAAAGTTAAAAATTAATAAATTATTGAAATCGATATTTAATTAATATATTAAATATAAAATATACTACTATTATTATTTTTTTTATTATTTTATTTAAGTATTTATTAGTAAATTGTAATTTAAATTAAATATTTTATTAAATTAAATTTAAAAAATATTTATTATTATATATTTATTAGAATTATAAAAGAATTAATAAAAAAATTATTAATTATAATTATAGTATTTATTTATTAAAAATTGATTTTAATTATATTAATTTATAGTATTTTATAATAATAA